TAGTAGTAGTGTAGTAGTAGTAGTAGTAGTAGTAGTAGTAGTAGTAGTAGTAGTAGTAGTAGAGTAGAGAGAGAGAGAGTAGTAGAGTAGAGTAGTAGTAGTAGTAGTAGAGAGAGAGAGAGAGAGAGAGAGAGAGAGAGAGAGAGAGAGAGGTTGTTTGTTTGAAGATGGATACGGAAGAGGGTTGTATATATAGAGGGGTGGTGAGGGTGGGGCGGCGTTAAGATTGAGGGAAGGTTCACATGGGCAATGCGTGGTGCGAGAGGTTGCCATTGGAGGGCAAACAAATGGCGACGGCCTCATGCATGTGAATCTCCCTGACATGCCTTCCATTCCCTTCCGCCATTTCACATACCTCTCGCTCGCGTGCCCGGCCTGGCCTGCTCATCCTTGGGCGGGACCAACCCGGCCCATCCAGTTGTACAAAAAATAGGTCAAACTATAGCCCAAGGTCAGTGTTATTCTGGTTTAGACCAAGCCCTCTTTTTTTTCCTTTTATTAATTTTTAATTTATTTTAACCCGGGGTGGAGCCCAAATCGGCCTTATACAGATGAGGAGCGGTCCAGGTCAGGGGTTTAGACTGGCCCGGCCCGTTGCGATCCTAGACTGTCTTTTTCCTATCCCTTATTTTAAGCCCTTTTCCCTCTGCCTCCTTCATAATTTGGGGCTTTTCTCTCTCCCTCTCTCCCTCATATTTTTTGTACATATCTCCGTACTTATTTTCTCCGTTAATTTGTGCTCCTTTTGTCTATACTGTATACTCTTTATCCTTCTCTCTCCTATTTTGGGCCTCTTTTGTCTCTTTTTATCTCTCCTATTTTGGGCCTCTTTTGTCTTTGGTTGTTTTTAATGTAAGAAAGAAGCCTGTTCTTTCGATACGTGTACTGGGAATGACCACGTGCCTTAAAATCACGTTGGTTGGTAACCGTACACCTGGCGGCCGTAGATATTTTCTGTTTTTAAAAACTAACTTAATTCAAATTTTACCTTTCAGAAAAATGATAATCAAATTTCCCCCTAAAACAACACTAAGCTACCTCTAACGGCCCATGTGGCAATAGGCGGTGCAGGGTCCGATTGGACTCGGACCTCGATCGAAACAGTATCCAGATCCAAAATTTGAATATGTATCCAAACCCATCGGATCCCATGTCTATCAATCGAGTTTGGGTTTAGTCTGATCCATTATCACCTTATAATTATGAGTTTTTTTTTTTTTTTTGGCTTCTTTTTTACTATCATTCACTTTTGAATCCATACCCAAGGTCGAGTATACCCACCTAATCCTAAATCCAGTTGGTTCCATTGCCAACCTTACTAATCACCGAAATAATAGACATATTGACTCTAAAACCCAAAGTGCGAAATTTACTAGAACTATTTTCGGAGCGTTTTGAGGTGACTATTTTTCGACAGACTTCTACTCGAGGAAGTAAGTAAACGGTACATGCTCCTGCAGGACTATAATACTCGAAAATATTGAGCGTTCCACCTGGCAGCGTACGACAAATGACGAGTGTCGGCACACGTCCGTCGACTCTCTTTCCATAAATATAAAACTTCTCGTTAAGTTTTTATTTATTTATTTCATTTCCGATTTCTTTGACTCTACCTTGGGAATCTCCCTCATTCCGTTGAATGGTGATACCTTTCAGCAGTAAACCTTCTTAATTTTATTTTGGGATCAAAATTTCCTAAAATTATAACTTTTGATTGTAAGTGGTCTACTTGAGCCGCAAGTACATTCATTTTCCTAGGAAGCAACCCTGGAGAGCTTTTTAAAGTGATATCTGGTTTTCATTCCCAACTATCACTTCAATTAATGTTTTGAAAAAACTAACTTTTAAACTATTTCAAATATGAGACGCTTTCCCTCTCTATTCTTACAAATAATATTTATCTATTTATAAGAGAAATGACTTTGTGAGACTTTTTTACTTTTTTGGATAATATTTTTAAAAATCACAATTACATTTGGCACAAATCTCTAAAAAAATCAAGTCCCACATTCATGTGATAACTTTTTTTTAAAAATCTGTGTCAAACTTGATGGCGATCCTACACACATGGATGTGTGAGGTTATCATAGGATAATTAATCTATTTATAATTATAGTTTTACCATTCAACAATTAAACAAAGACATAGTTAACATGCAGGCCAATCCTGCACATGTAGAAATGCGGCACCTCTTAAAAATCTATTTTTGAGATGGATTTTTTGACTTAATTTTTAAAGATATGTAATCTCTAACATGAAGATCACGAATATGAAAAATAAATAAATTTTAAAAACTAGAAATGATATTTCTATTAAGAAAATATTTAAACCATTATTTTTCATTGTCTTTAGATGAACCACCTACTTGTTGTTTTACACTTTTGGACCACATGTGTATAAATGTTGTTCAACCCACATGATACAATTTTCCATAAAACAATCAATTAGTTTAGGGAAAAAGTTTATACAGGGTTGCAACATTTAAAATGTAGAATTACAAAATGCACCTAAAAAATACATCGAAAAAGGTTGTTTTCATGTTTTCAGTCCTCTAATTGATTATCAAAAGTAGTGCTTCTTACAACAAATTATCTAGACCGTCCATTTTTAGGATTTTTATATGTTTATAAATCTACTTGATTTTAGTTATTTTTGGAGTTTAAAATTTTGTAATTAAATATGAAAATACATTTTCAGATAATCATAAGAACTTTTTACACTAAAATAACATGTTATGATAAAAATTTGTGGTGCGCCTTAATTGGATTGTTTAATGTTGCAACCTTATAGAAACCGCACCCATAGTTTAGCCCTCGAAGTGTCTAGAATCAGTATTTTAACCAAAAAGTATTTGAGGTATAGAATCAATATTTTAACCAAAAAGTATTTGAGGTATCTAGAATCAATTTTTTAACCAAAAAGTACTCACCGAATGTTTAAAAAGCCCACAAAATTTTTAAAAATAATGTTTATAATAGTAGTTTTACCGTTCAACAATAAAACAAGGGCGCCGTTTGTATAGAGCATAGGTTCTAAACAATCAAATTAGAGCCTACCTTCAAATAGTATCGAGAAATGTGATTTCAATACAGGAAATTTTTACGATAGCCTTAAAATATATTTTCATCTTTATTTATAAAGTTTAAGGTTTCAAAAATAGTGTAGATTGGCATATCTATGAAAACTTGAAAATTGACGGTCCAAAATTACGTTATAAAATACACTATTTCCAAAACTTGAAATTCATTTGTTTCTCATGTTCTTGCATCTTGATGTCGAGATGATCAATTTGAGGATATTTGAGCATCAAAACGACCACTTCTAGTGAAATTTTTGATGTAGGCTCTAATTTAATCGTTTAGAGCCTTGGCTCAGTATGAACTTTTCCCATAAAACAATCAATAGTTTCGTCCTCCAAATATCTATAATCATTTTTTTTAACGAGAAAGTATAATTAAATGTTTAAAAAGCTCACAAAATAAGAAACCTACCAAACCAACTATTGGAACCAACTTGCTTCAAAAAATAGCATGAAAAATATAAAAAACTCATTGAGCTTCAATTGGTCTTTGTTAAATTCGAGGAATTTCATGCGGCCTAACCATTTCTTCATATCTCAACTAAACAAAAAAATGAAAGTAAAAGTGAGAGCCGTGAAAATTAGGCAAATTTTTCGCTTTCCTTCTTTCCTCTCTCTTGTTTATTTAGAATGGCATCTCCAGATGGAATTAGTCAATGTAGTAGAGGTGGTGACGGGGAATACGGTACGGCGTCAGCAACAGCACATGCATCACAGCGCGCTACGCGTGAACAAATCGGCTTCGCCCCTTCCCATTGAGGGGCTACGCTGACCGTCCGATCCGAGATGGGGACCCTGCCTTTGCGCTTTGTGTGGCCTCAGGGTTTTCTCTCTCGGATTTCTTTTTGCTTTCCCTTCAAAGCTTGATAACATATTCTCCCCTGATACTACTGTATATCGTACAATTCATTTCATCTTAGAATCTAAGCATTCTTATTCGGGTGCAGTTTGTACAGAGCTTAGGCTCTAAACAATCAAGTGAAGGGCACCTTCAAATAGGATTGAGAAATATGGTTTTAATACTGAAAATATTTGTGGTAGCCTTAAAATATGTTTTCGTATTTACTTATAAAATTTAAATGTTTAAAAATAGTGTTTATAACCTCAGCTCTAAATATCGCCTAAATAATTCACTCATTTCGCTGAATTTGTCTAACATTCATTCGCATAGGATTTCAATCACAATTGTTAGTTTGCACAGAGTGTTTCATGCAAGCTGGGCGGTATTTTTACAATATGCGGTTCAGAGGTATAAAACATATGTCGTAAAGATGGATACAAATAGGTGGTCCATTTAAAAACAAGTGTAACTTACGTTTGAATGTTTTTTTAATATAATTATTACTTTTAATTTTCAATTTTTTCTTTCATATTCATCTTCTCCATGTTAAAATTATATATTCTCTGAAAATTAGGATTAAATTATATTTTAAAAAATATATTTATTGCCAAGTCAGTATTTCTACAATACGCGGGCTGGCTGCATA